CATTCAAATCAAAAAACGAGGGCTAAGTTATGATGTGTTGTTGAAAATGAAAAATGATAAGCTAGCAAATGCACTGATCAACGAACTGAAGCTGAGGATTTTGGTACGTTCGAAGTGAATTTTACATTTTTAGGCGTCTTTGCTGTGAACTGCTGCGGCGCTGCTACAGTGAGCAAAAACGCATTTTGTCAAGAGGTTAACCGCGTGTGTGTGTGTGTGTTCGGAAACGAGCAGGCTTCATGCAAAGAACTGATAATCATGTGCGCTGGAGATTCATGCGGTCCCCATGATGCAACACCTTCATCCCAGCCGACGCGCTTTCTCCTTGCATTCGGGGAAGTACACAGCCAGTACCAGTCTAACTCATAAACTGTTGCGTAAAGACCATTCCTGCTCTCAGCGATCTGCAAGCTTAGCACAGAAACGCATGATCACACTGGCAAGCCTGGTGTGTTGCATCCTGGGTCCACTAGATTGCCATGAGCGCTCAGACACTCAGTCTGGGAATTCAGTGCTGGTGATATTACTGGAATGCACACGCACGAGAGACTGCCATATTTTTATCAGGCCTTTTGGTACTGGATTGCCTCTCTGCAGTTGAAATTCACTGCCAGATTTGTGCATTTCACCGACTAGCTTTTTTAAATTTCAGGAGAAATTATGAATTAATAAATTGCGGCCAGTATAAAGCCGAATCTTAACCTTAAAAGAATTGGACGGTCCAAAGAAATCAAAATGTGAAACGGCCAGAGTCAGAAAGTTAAAACGAAGACTGGGGCAAGATCAACCCACGTCAATGTTTTTAGTCTAACATTGCAATTTTGTGCTTACGTTTATAATTTCAAAAGCATTCTAGGTGGGAGCTGGAAATTTTTTAGCTTTTCACTGACTACGATAGACGTTAAGCCTCTCAACAATGCGCGACTTTAGCAAGTTGTTGACGAGGCAAGCAATATGCCTCATCCATGGGATTGTAGTTTCCTGCAGTAATATCCCGTGCGTCAATCATTTGAGACCAAATCGGTCTATTTATATGGTCGCGGAGAAACAACTGAGT